GGCCCGTGGCCGATGGCTGGCATGTACTGGTGGTTTAAACCACCAGCACATCTGGAGAATTCAATGAGCCTCTCCTTAAAGTTAGGGGACTTGGGACAGGGCCCACCTGGGGGCGGGCGGTTTTTTTTTTTGGGGTTCATGGCTGGGCCTACACAGTGCCAACCCACAGCATGGGACAATGTTTTTTTCTTTCTACTGGGCCTTCGGACGCCCTGTCCCGAGCCTCCGGAATGCTAGGAGAGGCTCAACCAGATTCTCCACTTGGCTGGGCTTAAGTGAGACATACATCACATCACATCACATCAAATGCAGACTCCACTCAGCAATCATGAGCACACAACACAGATTGCGACAACAGAACCAATCGGCTTCATGAATGCTTAACCACAGCCCCAAGAGTACATGGCTGGCTGGGGCCAAGTACTCATGGATTAAACCGCTAGTACACGGCCCCAGCCTTGCAGAAAGTTTTTGTCGCCACACGCAAAAATCGGAGGCGCCGCACGGCCAGGCCTGCCATTGAAAAACGAAATCGGCGGCCTCCGAAGTGGTGCGGGTTTCACGCTGACACCCGCGGGCCCATGTGTGGTGTACTCGTGTTTTAGCCAAGTCAATGAGAACATTAGACACACCCAGGAGAAATTGATTTAACAAGTTCATAAGCATGCAATAACTTCACAGGTTACTATAGGTGACCTATTATGGGTGAAGTCCAAAGAATTTACGCTGAAAGAACAGAGATTTCTCTGAAGCGGCTACCAGCATGTCGAGGGTCATGGAACATTTTAGGTGGGAGTCATTGGAGCGGGTAACCTTGACAGCAGCTCCTATGTCATGGAAGTACTACTTCCCCACTTAGGAACCTACCCTGTCTTTTATGCCTCTAAATTGCTACCTAGCAAACACCATCTCCCCGTTACGAAGTTCAACTACCGTGTGTGTCTGGGACCTGGCCTCTTCAACAACCTGGGCTTTTATTTATTTATTTTTCCTTAGAAAGGTCTAGGGTGTTAAAAAAAAAAAAAAAAAAGAAGAAGAAGAAGAAAGGTCCAGGGTGTAGTAGAGGGTGGTGGCCAGGCCTCAGGAGGTGCCCATAGTACTCTACTCGTCCATTGGGAGGTCAGGTGGATTGCGAGGACCCAGGGGGAGTCACCTCAGGATGGCACCGTGGTACCATGACCAATGGTATTGCTCATATTGCAGATATGACCTCGTGATCTGCGCCAACGCTTACCGAGCTAACCCGAACGTCTTCATGCAGACACTACCCCCCCATAACTCTAATATTAAGGACGACCGGGCAACCTGGGCTTTTTCATAACTTGAAAAAAAAAAAATCAATGGTACAACCTGACATGGATGGCAGATATGGCACAGGCTGTATACTTGAGCAGGACATGTATACATCAGGGGTGAGAGGGCAACCGCAAAGGCAATACAAAATTCAGGTTCAATATCAGATACTTGAAGAGGGTGATAGACCAACTGGCCTGGCTGTCAGTTGGCACACCCCCCCTGGACTGAACTGTTGATGAAATACGGACCAGGTGCTGAGTTCAAACTCCACTGGAAGCAAATGAGTAAACTACTACAATTCTGAATTACCTTGGGCTGGTCAGTTCTATGATGACATTTCAAGGCACATTGACATAAAATAAAAAAAATAAAAAAATAAAAAAACTTGAGGGTGATAGGTGGTTCACAAAGGTGGAGCCTACTTGCCCAAAAAAAAAAAAAAAAAAAGGGGTGAGCCTACCGACATCGCCCCTGGGACAGTCTCACATTATTAGGAGTCGCAAAGGGGTGTTTGAATAGCTAATAGGGGAGGAGAAAGATCATAACCGTACTCGAGGACCTCGAAACTCGTAGAAAAGCGTTGGATCCGGCCGAGTGTTTCTCCTTATGGTTCACCAGTCCTATTCGTACCGAAGAAAAAGGAAGGAACACTTAGGATGTGCATTGACTATAGGGGCCTCAATGCCATCACTGTCAAGAACAGAGAGCCCCTACCGCGCATCGATAACTTGCTAGATAGAGTGCAAGGGTGTCGGTACTTCAGTAAGATAGATCTGAAGTCCGGGTACCATCAGATTGCAATCCAGCCCGAGGATCAATACAAAACCGCATTTCAGACCAGGTACGGTCTGTATGAGTTTGTGATGATGCCTTTCGGCCTTTGCAATGCTCCTGGCACCTTTCACCATGCTATGAATCGGATATTTCATGACTACTTGGATAAGCTTGTCATCGTGTACCTCGATGACATAATTATTTTTAGTAAGACTGGCGAGGAGCACATTGCACATTTGGACAAAGTCCTTAGTCTTCTTCGACAGCACAAGTTCAAGATCAACGGTGAGAAGTGCGAGTTTGGCTGCACCCGTGTCTTGTACTTGGGTCATGAGATTTCCGCGGAGGGCTTGAAGCCCGATAATGTGAAGGTGACCAGCACTCGTGACTGCCCGCGTCCTCAGTCTGTGATTGAGATGAGGTCCTTCTTAGCGATGACAGGCTACTCCCGCAATTTCGTAGTGGCCGCCCCTTTGACGGACCTGACTCGCCTTGACACCCCATGGGAGTCGACAGACGGGTGTGAGGCTGCTTTCAGACATAGAAAGCATGCGTTCACACACCATGAGGTCTTGAAACTTCCTGATCCTAACAAGCCTTTCGTAGTAACTGAAACGGTATTCACCAGTTCGCAGTAGCGAATGCAGATCCTAGGGCTCGACCCCTTGTTCCCCATCTTACCTGTGTACAGTATTGATGTTAACCCGTAGATTTGAGCCTGCGACCTGTCGAAACGCCAGTGGTAGGTAGATTGTCGTAGGTCACAGCTTAGAAGGGAATCRAASTGTARACTTGTAGGGTAGGAGTCTASACARTTCCGAAGTCGTMGTTGTAGGATGCCYGAAAGGTCAAGGTCGTAGCWGCTACTTACCTGAAGGGGCAAAGTCGTAGCTGCTACAACACCGAAAGGCCAAGTCAGAAGTTTCTAGAAGTGGCCTTTCGGAGTTAGCCTGCATACAACCGAGGCAAGTGGTCAAGTGGTGTTAGACCACCTTGCTGAGTCAACAATCCCAGCTAGTCAGTCCGGTCCTGTCCAGCAAGTACCATCTGGGACTGTGTGCACATTGTGGGCCAAGGGATACAGGGCAGACCAACGCAACACAAAAGTATAAATCAAGAGGCTGCGTCCAGCCATTCACTCATTCCTGCGGATGCCATGCGGAAGCGCTGCCTCAGCAGCTTGTGCGAGGAGGTCTGCAGTGTGCCCGAAGACGAAGAGGGCAGTGAAGCGTAGTGTAGCGATAGGGTAGCGGCAGCCATAGCTACCATAGCTATAGTAGTGTGTGTGTGTGTGTTGCGTGGGGTTACAGAGTGTTGCGTGTGGGACATCCAGGGTGATCTCGAGTGTGAACAGTGAGTAGTATGGGCGAACAGTCGCCATAGCCAGTTGGAAGAGAACTCATATCTGGTTACGATATCTTTGAGTATTGTGTGGGCGCATGTCGCCAGTTTGCTGTATCGCTGTTTGCAAGCATGATGAAGTGTGAATAAGTCGAGTCAGATTGCACTGGTATCGGAGCAGGTACCCGCTGTTCCACGCGCGCAATGTGTGTAGGGCCGAGGTGCCATAGCTGAAGTGCCCGCCGGAGGAGGCAGTCCGCCATAGCGGACCTCAAGGTGGAAGAAGACGCCGCGCACCTGCAACAAGCAGA